TGATTCAGGGACCTTCTCCATGTTCCTGAATCAATCGATGTCCATGTTCCTGATTCAACAGACCTCCATGTTCTTGATTCTTTCGACCTCCATGTTCCCGATTCAATAGACCTCTTATATGTTCCTGATTCAATAGACCTCCATGTTCCTGATTAAACAGACCTTCATGTTCCCGATTCAACTGACCATGATGATCCTAATTCAATAGACCACCTCCATGTTCCTGATTAAACAGATCACCTCCATGTTCCTGATTTAAGAGACCTCCATGTTCCTAATTTAACATACTTCTATGTTCTGATTCATCAGATCGCCTTTATGTTCTAGATTCAACAAACCTCCTATATGTTCCTGATTCAAGATATATGTTCCCGATTAATTAGACATCCTTTATGTTCCCAATCCAACAGACCTCCATGTTCCTGATTCAGCATACCTCTATGTTCTAGATTCAATAGACCTACATGTTCTTAATTCAACTGACCTCTATGTTCCTTATTCAACAGACCTCCATATTCCTGATTCAACAAACCTCCATGTTCCCGATTCAACAAATCTCTATGTTCCTGATTCAACAGACCACCTCTATGTTCCTTATTCAACAAACCTCTATTTTCTTGATTCAACAGACCTTCACGTTCCTGATTCAGCAGACCTCTATGTTCCTGATTCAACAGACCTCTATGTTCCTGATTCAACAGACCTCCATGTTCTCAATTCAATAGACCTCTATGTTCTTGATTTAACAGGCCACCTTTATTTTCATGATTCAACAGACCTCCATGTTTTTTATTCAACAGACCTTCATGTTCCTGATTCAACATACCTCCTATATATTCCTGATTCAACAGGCCTTCTTTATGTTGCTGATTCAACAAGCCTGCTTTATAACTAGTGTGATACAGTGGGAGAACAGACTTGGGTTTTGCGTTTGTGTTCGCACTTGTTCGGTTTAGCAAGAGTCACCACCGACTTTTTATTTATCCTAAGGAAAGGTCAAAAAGCACAGGAAAGACCTTTGAGATGTTTTCATGGATTCGGGGAGTAGATTATAGAAAGGGAAGGTATTAGCACCATTTCTATCCATGGTTATCCATGGGCTCTTAGTTACTTGCTTAGATCACTTGCTTTGCATTTTCAAATTGTTTGAAATGGTGCTTTGTGTGTGGTTTTGAAAGATGTTTTGAAAAGAGGCCATTATTGTGGCAACCTTTGTAATGACTCATGTTTGAGTATATACAAAGGTGTTTTTGTCTTTTGAAAAGTTTTTCAATGTTTTGAAAGTTGCTTGGAAATTGTGTTGTGATGTGTGTTTTTGAAAAGTAGCAAGGATGTTTTCTTTGCAAGTTTGATCAAGTAACTAAGAGTTGTCTACCCTATTTTTTACTCAAAGATCTTTCCCTATGTTTTTAACCATTTTAACAGTGTTGTTTCACCATTGTATTTGGTGAACAACCTTGTGTTAGGATGTAAACGGGACGGGCGCGGGTCATCGTATAGACCATGAAAGCAATAGTGTCAAGTATTTTGGCAATTTTCTTGAGGGACTATGATCATTTTGTTTAGGCAACAAGATAGCGTCATCGAGGAACTATGATCATTTTGTTTGTTTTTGTTTTGCCAAAGTACTTGACATGCAAACATGACCCATTTTTGAAGGCAACAAGTGGATGTAACCCTAGGGGTGCAAGTGTGCATTGTGTTTGTTTTTTCATGCATGTTTATCTTAAATTAGGTCAAGCTATTTGTTGATTGATTTTGCATACAAACCCTAAGTCTAAGCATGGCATAATTTGGGAGCTTTTAAATGTGCGAGAATTTAAAGTCCTAGATTATTACAACATGATTATGGGGATGGGGATACAAGTTTGAATTGGGGGGTATTTGACAAGGAAATAAATGCTAAATTATTACAATCATATCGAATATACAAATTAATATTCAACATTTAAATAAATACAAATATCAAATAAAAATGTATTATGCAAAAAGAAGATTGTTTATGTATGTAAAAAAGGTTTTCATGTTTGAAATATAAACAAAATAAAAAAAGTCAATTTTTAGTTATTTTTGTTATTTAGGGTTAAACCCTAATTCTTGAATAAATAGTATTCATTTATCAATTATGTACAATATATATTAATTTGTGCAAAAATAAAAAGTATATTGTTAAAAAAGTATTTTTAGTGTCAAAAAATAAAAATGTATTATTTCTATATTTTTGTCCTAATTACCTAATAAAATAAAATATACAAGTATTTATATTTTACATATATTAAATATGCTAAATATGTACAAAAATAAAATATTAATTATTTACAAAAATGTATATTTTAGAAAATGTTTTCAAAATGTAAATAAAAAAATAATAACCAAAAAATAAATGTTTTTTGTATTATTTTTTAGGGTTTTTTAAATGAAAAGGATTTATATTTATTTACATACATATGCTTGAAAGTAAATAAATGTCAAATAAATATGAAAAAAAGGTAGAAAAATATTTTTGATGTTTTTTATGTTTGAGCAAAAAATATAAAATCAGAATCAAAAAGAAAAATGCAAAAATATCAAATATTTCACATAATGGGCCAGGGGGTGCAAATGGAAAAAAGGGGTGCAAAAAGTCAGACTGACTCAGGCCCAGCCCAAGTCAGTCATCTTCAACCTTCAGTTCTGTCCAAACGCGCGCATCTTTGTTCAAAATACAAACTCCTGATTCCTTGATTTTTAGCCAAAACTCATAACACAAACAATGTAGAGCATCAAACCACGATTCCAAACATGTAAAAAACTTGTCCTAACTCTAAGAAACCAGGGAGAATTTCTTCACCCCCAATTTCTGACCTAGTTTTTCTTCAATGTTCATGGTTAAAATTCTCACAGCATGCTTAATATAAATAAAAAGTGAACACATGTATGGCTTCAGGGCTATGAGTAGAACACGTTTCATTCACAAATCTAAGCTTAATCATGCCTGGATAGAGAGATATAAGTCCATAGATTACCTGTTTCAGCTTGACTCGAACAGTGCAATGTAGCAACCTTTAATGGAGTTTGAGCTTTTGTTGAGCTTGCCTGAAGTCCAAGGATGCTTCCCAAATGCCTAGCTTGCTTTGAAACCACTTGTATCGTGCTGTAGAAGTTCACCTGCACAGCTTGAAAGTGAAAATGGCAAACGAGGTTTGGGGTGTTACAGCTTGAGTTTAAGGCTTGGAATAGTTTCAGTGGATGGTATGGAAGGTGTTTGAAAGGTTTTTAGCCAAAGTGCCCGAGTGGATTGAGTTGTGGACCTCAATCTGCAGCAGATGCCCTGTTTTTGCAGCAAGATGGTGTTTTGGTGTGTTAGGAGGTATGAGGGGTGGAAGAGTCGTGTTTTAGGTCAGTTGGGATATATGGAAGATGAGTACAAAGTTTGCTCTGGCTTGTGTTTACAGGAAAGTGAAAGTTGGATCCGTTTTGCAAAGTTGCTTGTTTTTGAAGTAAGAAAGTTCAAGTTGCAATGCAGGCCTGTGAACTTTATATCTCTATGCTGCAGCATTTGTTCTTGATAAATGGGATATGTGTACAAAGTTTTGCCTCAAATATCTGGCTTGTACCTCAAGGATTTGGAACTTGACATAAAGTATCACTTTACCAAAATGGCAATCTTGCTTTTTCCAAATAAGGATTAGTTTAGCATGTATTGTCCAAATGAATGAAATAACATCTTAACACAATGGTTAGGCATTAAATTATTGAGTGTGAAGAGGTTTAGAAGCCTGTAAGCTAGCACAAACCCTGCTGATTTGAAAAATGCAAATGTTATGAACATGCTTTGGCCATGAACAAAAGTGAGTTTTGGCCAACTTTGTAAATTCGATTCTCTCTAACTACAAGGGTGTTTGAGAAGTTCTTGGACAATTTGGAAAGCTTGTAACATGTAATTCAATCCATATTTGTAATGAAAATTGAAACTCCAAGTGGAACCATGTGATAAATGGCCAAGAAGTTGGACCAAAATCCTGCCTAGAATAGGGCAAATTTCTTCTAAGTTAAAAGTGTTTGGTACCCTTATTCCAAAAATCATAACTTGAGATACAAGCTTCCTTTGAGAAAACTTTGTGAATCAAAGTTGTATATTTTGCAATGGACTACAACTTTCATGTTTCAAGATTTGTTTGAATCCATTTGCATTTTGGTGAAAAAATGGGACAAAGTTGGAAAAAAATAAGAAAATTTCATAACTTAGAAAATTTCTAAGTTATGAAATTTTTTCATTTTAAACCCTAATTTGCAATTTTGGGTTTATTGATGAACAAGTTTCATAATTTGACATGTCTTGATGAAAAATGGATCTTGGCACTTGATTTTGACTAAAAAGTCAAAGTTTGACTTTTCAGTATACAGTCAAATTTTGATCAATTGACTGAAAAATTCATCTGTCAATCCTATGCTTTTGAGATCTTTTGAACTTGTTGAATGGGTCAAGACAATGCCATTGAGTCCTTGAGTCCCTATGTGAGCTTGGTTTGCCATTGGTTAGGTGAAACAGTAAAAAAATTGCCTTTGTGCAGTCAAAACCCTAAAAATGACCATTTTGCCCTTTTGGTGATCTGATCAAATTTCTTGTGAAATTGTGATCCAAACTTGATCAAATGATTCATATGAGTTCATTATGTTGATGTGAGTCAAAAATCATAAAGTTTGACTGTCAATTGGTCATAGTTGACTTTTTCTCCAATACAGCTGATTTTTAGGTCAACTGTCCAATTGACTGGGCAAAGATTTGAATCAAGGCTTGAAACTTGGTATGGATAAACTTGTGAGTCCAACATGAAGCATGAAAGTCACTTTGGGCATTTTAGGTCAAAACATCCCTATGCAAATTCAAACCCTAATTTGGGTCAACAGTGCAAGGAGGGGTCTTGAGCAGAGCAAACCCTAACTTGATCTTGAGCTCCAAGAGTCTTGTGGTGAGAAAATGTTGATGAAATGAGAGGGAAAATTTTGAGGTACAACAACTAGGGTAAGTGAAGATGTACTTTTTGAAAAAGTCGATCGAAAGCATGTTGATCTCTATTGTCAATGGGGACAATTGGTCGGCCTATAATAGGCAAATGGGTCAAAAATAAAATGTCCTCCAATGTGACTTTCATGCGTTGTTGACCACAGACCCAAAAATAAAAATCATTTTCTATATGTTCATAAAGTGTCATGAACTCTTGCAACAAAAATGTTGAAATTTCCGCACGTTTGTCGGGGATAAGTCTCAAGAGTCTCAACAAAGAACTACCATCACCATTATTATCAATTATGTTGTCAATTAAGGCTTTAAAGTCTTCATCTAATGTTGACAACAATTCGTACAAAGTCATCAGTTTTGAACTTACTTTTGCTTTTGTTGCCATTTCCTGCATTCATATAGTCACATATAATATTAATTTAACACCAATCAAACTTGTAGAGAATTTAAATAAACAAGAAAATAGCAATGGTTCGTAAAGGATTCAATTTAAGGAGATAACTGAACCGAACTGAACCATAACAAAATTCTTTAAAACCAAACTGAACTGTTATAATATTTTTTGAAACCGAACTGAACCGAATTAACGGTTCGGTGAACCGTTGTTAATTTTGAACCAAACTGAACTGTTATAAGTAAAAGAAAATTTAAACTGGCTATTTTAGTGTATGAAAGGGAACTTTGTGGTGTCTACAGGGAACACTGATAGGGCTGGAGTGGTGGTGGTCATATTTTCAAACAATACAATAGAAGCAGATAACTTTGTGGTGTCTACAGGGGTGAATTCCATATTGCAAGAGTTTAAGGAAGTGTTTAAAGATCAGATTCAACTGCATCCTATGTATGAGAAGGAATTGATGGTCTGGTCCTATGTATTCAGCATTGGCTACCAGTTTGAAGTCAGCTTGAGTTTCATGATAAATTGATGGCTCTGGTCCCTGGAGAATTGGCCAAGCATGCAGTATCTGAAGGGACTAAAGCTATAACAAAGTTTACAAGTGCTTAGATTTTAAACTGTTGTTTAGGAGTTTCTTGTGTGATTAGGTGGATCTAATGGATCTGTTTATTGTCTTTGAAACTGTGAATTTGATTTTATATCGAAATCTATTTTGATGCACTGATTCGTTAAAGATTATCTGTATTTGTTTTAGAACAGAAACAAGAAAACAAATTCAAAAATGTGTTTTTATCTTTCAACCGTATTTGAGTTACCTCTCTTTTAGCAAAAATAACCAAATATGTTACCTTAGGATCTATTTGCTGCAAGCCAGTTAAATTCAATAAAATAAGACCTGAATTTAATAGAGACATACTCCTAGCATAAAATTAGGTCTTGTTGCAGTCGCATAAATTAAACTATCAACCACTTTCATATATAAAATTGCACCAACTTTGATTCATTATGTGTTTCATGTACAATCCAACTAATTAAAATGTGATAAACTTCCATATAGTAACTTGAGCCTAAGTCTCTCTAAATTGTACTACTACCAAAATATGAACCAATGAACAATAATCAACCTAAAATAACCATAGTCGATTCCTAAATCCACAAAAGAATCCCTAAATTGAAATTAACCAAGTGAAATTGAACATGAAATTAACTCACTCCCCAAAATCATAATACAGAGGTATTGCTTATATCAAAATTTCACAATCCAATCCAAAAAACAAAACGAAAAACTAATTTCAAAACAGTTCCTAATTTCACAATCCCAAAAAATGAAAGAAAAAAAAGAACTTACCCAACGTCAAAGCAATGTCAATCAGAGATTAGTGGTCGGTGTTAAGAACAGTAGAAAATGGGACCCGCGGTGGTGGTGGACGATGAGTCTTTGTGGTTCTCGTTCCGTCGGAGTTCGTGTGTGGTGTGGTTGACGACGTCTATTGAAATACTGAGAAAAGTTGAGAAAAGTTGCAGTTTTTTTTTATATTTTTAAGTTGATTTCAATATATTGTACTAACCCGGTTAGTGTTATGTGTAATTGTACTAACTCTCTCCTTATATATTGTTCATATCATATATTTTAATCAATTATTTATTATAACATAAAATAAAAGATCCTTAAATTATAATATATCTTTTGTATCCGATGAATCTGACCTGCACACATGAGAAAATAACTCAATTATTTTCAACTTTAACATCATCTAAACCAATTTACACAAATATGATGCATAGGAAAATTGTATCCAACTAAAATCACATAAGCTACTGTCACATAAGCTAATGTCAAATAAGCTACTGTCACATAAGCTTCAGTCTCATAAGCTAATATCAAATAAGCTATTGTCACATAACAAATTGAAACATATAAAACAAACATTCTAAAAAACCCATTTGCTTAAATGATTCAAAAACGAAAACTATTATCCTAAATGATTAAAAAACGAAAACCCACAATGCATAGACACAAGAACAAAAAGGAAAGAGAATAGTTGTACCTGAAAGTGCGAAGAAAGAAGCTGAGATTTGTAAAGAAGTTGAAGAATCACGTTTGGAGTAGAAGAAGCTGAGTTGAAGAATCGCGTTTGGAGTAGAAGAAGCTGAGATGGAGAATCGCGTTTGGAGAAGCTGAGTTTGGAATCACGTTTTGGTATGGAATCGCGTTTGTGAAATGTGTTTTCAGATTGGAGGGTTTGAGAAGGTAAATGGGTAACCGACCCGTTTTAATTGGTAACCGACCCGTTTTAATTTTTTTTTAATGAATTGGATCAGGTTAAATGCAAGTGGATTGGGCTTTTTTAGTTTGGTTCACCAGATTTACAGTTTGGGTCAGCTGATCCGGTTTTTATGCACACCCCATCACCTTTAGTGGAAATCTAGTGAATTTTGTGTATTTTGGAAAATCAGGGACTAAAGTAACAGCGAATCTGCTGAGTCAGGGACTATTTTGCCTTTTTGGCTGCGTCAAGGACTAAAGTGACAACGAGCTGTTAAGTGAGGGACTAAAATGACTATTTTCTCCTAAAAATAATTATTTCAATTTCTAAAAATAATTAAAAATATAAATTTCAATTTTTTAATTATTTCAGTCGATGGTGGAAAAATATGAAAATAAAATATTTATTAATATGATTAACGGCGTCTCAAGTTGCCCTTTAGGTAGTTTGTCACTGTTGCTTTGCTGCCATGATTTCATTGTTTGTTTTTTTCAAGTAATTTATTCTCCTTGTTCATAGTGGATTGGATGCCCAAAGTATTAGAGGGTAATTTAGTATTTTGTGATTTGTAGATAAGTTTTAATTAGGGCCTATGTGGCATTATTATTTGTGTATAAATAGGTGTACTAGGTTTACATTTATTAATCAATCAATTCCAATCATTTGTTGTCAGCCTTTATTTTGCATTTATTCCCTTTCATCTTCTTCCTCAAATTCATCACCTTTGCACTAACAAATTGGTATCTAGAGCTCTTGGTTTGATTCTGAAACTCTGGGAAACACGAGTGATAGTGAGCTGTGTGTTTGATTTTTGATTCTTGAACAAAAATCTGAAACAGAATCACACTGATTCTGTGGGTTTTGGGAAACACTGAGTGAGATCTGAGTTTTTCTGTGCAAAGGTTTAAGATGAATGGAGGCAGTAGTTTGAACACTAAACTTCCAGTTTTTGATGGCAAAAACTGGAACAGATGGAAGATTCAAATGCGTGTGCTGTTTGGTGCTCAGGATGTTCTGGACCTTGTTTCTGAAGGTTATGTTCCAGCAGCAGCAGATGCTACTGTAGAACAGAAATCAAAAGAAAAAGCTACAAGGAAGAGGGATCAGAAAGCACTGTTTTTCATCCATCAGTGTGTGGATGAAAATGTGTTTGAGAAGATTGTTGATTCGACGACGTCGAAAGGGGCATGGGATATTCTGACCAGATGTTATGGTGGTGACGTATCTGTAAAGAAGGTAAAGCTTCAGTCCCTGCGAAAACAATATGAAAATCTCAGCATGAAAAACAGTGAGAAAGTTTCTGAATACATTTCCAGATTGATTCTGATTACTAATGAAATGAAGGCTTGTGGAGAAACACTTTCTGAACAGGTAATCATAGAAAAGATTCTGAGGTCACTTACGCCTCAGTTTGATTATATTGTTGTTTCTATTGAACACTCTAAAGATCTGGAAACCATGAGAATAGAAGAGTTGCAAAGCAGTCTAGAAGCACAAGAGTTGCGTCTGACTGAAAGAACTTCTGAGAGGGAAGTGGAGCAAGCTCTGAAAGCTTCTTTTGTCAAGAAGGACCAGAAGCAGAATAGACATGGTGATAAATTCCAGAAGTCAGAAACCTCAACTTCTGATGAAAAGAAATATCAGAAGGGAAAGGAAAGGTATGACAAGAAGAAGGTTCAATGTTACTGCTGTAAACAGCTTGGGCATTTTGCCAGAGACTGTAGAAACAAAGGAAGAAAATCAGAAGAAGCAAATATAGCCAGAGAAGATTCTGATGATGAACCTGTGCTACTGATGGCTTCTGATTCTGATGGAAACTGTTCAGGAGATTGGTGGTATATGGACACTGGCTGTTCAAATCACTTGACTGGGAACAAACAATGGCTGACAGACTTTGACTCCAGAAGGAGAACAAAGATCAGATGTGCTGATGATAAGTACCTTAATGCAGAAGGTATGGGAAATGTCAGAGTCAGAGTGAAGAATGGAAGAAACATTCTGATCAAAGATGTCTGGTACGTTCCTGGAATTAAAAGCAATCTGATGAGTGTGGGTCAGCTTGTTGAGAAAGGTTTTTCAGTGGTTATGAAGGACAACCTCTTGACGTTGTACGATTCTAATCAGAAGATGATTATGAAGTCTGAGCAGGGAAGCAACAGAACATTCAAAGTGAATGTAGAAACCTCTGAAGCGGAGTGTCTCAGTGCAGAAGGCGCTGAAGCAGACAGTAAGTTGTGGCACAAGAGGTTGGGGCACTTGAACTATAGAAGCTTAGGGCATCTAAGTTCTAAGAAGCTCGTACATGGAATTTCGAAGATTGTGAAGCCTCAGAAGTCATGTGAGATATGCATGAAAGGCAAGCAACCAAGATTGCCATTTGTGTCAGAAGTATCCCCCAGAGCAAAGCATGCTCTGGGTGTAGTACATTCTGATGTGTGTGGACCATTTCCAGTAGCTTCACTTGGAGGAAACAAATATTTCGTGTCTTTTGTGGATGAGTTCACAAGAATGACTTGGGTAAAACTCATCAAGTTCAAGCATGAAGTGTTTACAGAATTCCAGAAGTTCAAGGTGAAGGCTGAGAAGCAGAGTGGTCAGAAGCTGAAGATTCTGAGAACAAATGGTGGAGATGAGTATAACTCTACAGAGTTCCAGAAGTTCTGTGAGGAGAATGGAATAGAACATGAGGTTACTGCTCCATATACTCCTCAGCACAACGGTCTTGCTGAA